TTCAACGCCAAGTAACCTTTACTTTGATCACAGCTTGCTTGGTCTCGCAATGAATCCTGGGATATCCAAGGATACCGAGGATACATCGGACCCCTCCTTCAAATCGGGCAAAAAGAAGGACGCATTTTAAGGTTGCATAAGGAGGACTCTTGGAATCCGGCCAGACCTCGGCGCCGCGCTATGACGTAATCGTACTTCGAATCTGGCCTTCTAAGGACGCGTCCTAAGTTTTCGAACAGAGCCCCTATATAAGGTGTGCTTAATTTTTAGGCAACTTCCTTTCCATCAGCAAAATGGGTCAGAAAAGAGATTTGATAGACTCTGAAGAGTAAAAAATTGTCAGATGTCTTTCAGAGGGGTGCAGCAGTTAGATCAACTTCCAAAAATATGAAACTTTGATATTAAGGAGTCTTGGGTTGATTGACAACACGATTGTGGCCCAATAATAAAAATAATCCTCAAAAATACAACCTGCCTAATAATTCTGTACACAGTGTAGAATCTTGGCAAGCATGTGAAAGAAGTTGCTCGGGTCAGAAGACACCAAAGTTAAACTTTTTGCCGCCATGTGATAAAGTGTCATTTAAAACTAACACTCTAAATCCCACTGAACGCTTCGTCAAGCTCCTTTTTAGCAGAGGGAGAGAATGTAGTTCATAGGAAGTCGATTGGGGCTACACCTTCATAATCCAAAAAATAAATCTGTCTGAAGCTGCAGATGAGTTGGAATGGGATGGAGCTTCATCTTCCAGCAGGGCAGGAACTATAAATGGACAGCCGCAGCTGCAATAGAATTTAGATTAAAGCATATTAATGATTTACATTTAGCCTTGGTCCTAATATATATAATATAATTCTTTAAAATCTTCATATATTATGCATTTTGCTTTACACTTTCCATAATTGTAAATAAATCAAATCAAAGGTTATTTATATAGCACTATACAATCAATTCTAATTGTTGTGATCTACTGCATCGATTCTTGACCCCAAGTATTGATTCTTAATTTTAAAAAGGAATAAATAAAATACATGAACGGTTGGCACACATCCGCCAAAAACAAGTGGAATACAGCTTCCAGTTAGTAGATGTCGCTGCGGATGTGTTGGCGCCCGCTGCTTTGTGTCACAAGCATTTCCGTCCGAGGGAAACTGCGACGAGTCATTCATGAACAAAACACGGAGGAGACTGAGGAAATTCGCCCGGCTCCATCACATTTCAAGTCAGATGTTTGAATGCATTTTGGCTTTAAAAAAAAAGAAGGTAAAAACGGATTTGATATGACGCACGTCATTTGCAAAAGGGGAAATGTCATACATTTGAATCTTTTCATTTCAGTGGCTTTTTTGCACCACGGACTACTATATGTCAGACAATATTTTCACGGACCGGCTGGGGGGGGGATACGATCAAGTAAAAAGGGGGGGGGGTTAAAATGATACTACGACTGGCATGAAATCAAATACAAACAGCATAAGAATAAAACAACAAGCCGGTCCCATCTAGGCGTAATCGGAGAAAATGACACACGAAGTGTGCTCCTGATGTCCAGTCTGCTCCGTAGCTTTGTTTTGGTCGCTGTAACCGCAGAAAATCACACTTTACAAAGATAGGATGTTATAGATAGGAAGCGTCTTGACCTGAATTAACCTGTGTCAAGAGCAGGGGTGGGCAATTCCAGTTCCTGGGGGCCGGTATCCTGCAACTTTTAGATCCATCCTTGGTCCAACACACCTGAATCAAATGGCTGTGTTACCTCCTCAGTATGCAGTCGGTTCCTGCAGAGTCCTCCCAATTTTCTGAGTACTTGATTCAGGTGCATTGAACCCAAGGCACATCTAAAAGTTGCAGGATACCGGCCCCCAGGAACTGGAATTGCCCACCCCTGGTCAAGAGGCACAGATGCACCGACTGATGTAATTGGGAGAGAATACCGCAATTTTTTATATTTTTCAAAATAAAACACCACTCAGACTCTGATCGTCGATAAATTATATATATATATATATATATATATATACTTTTTTTCTGTGCGGGCCGGTACCAAATGACCCACGGACCGGTACCGGTCCGCGGCCCAGTGGTTGGGAACCGCTGGTTTAAAGGACCACTGAGGCCATGTAAACGGCACTGATTATCCTTATGTTGTTATTTCAAGTTTTATAAATCCTAAGCACTTTTTGTCAGTGTGTCCACTCCAGTAATAGTAATATTTTTGTCCAGTATTTGTTTTCATGGCAACACCTCCAAAAGTCTTTTCAATAAATACAGCTATGTCTGAATTCAGTTGTATCAATGGATCAATTGAAAACACTAACCAGATCACACGCAGCCAGTCAGCCACCGGTAAGGGCTGTATTTTTTTCTAACAGTGTTCAGTGAAAATATCACAATGCATCGCAATATTTCAAGTATCATGATGCATCGTGATTGAATCACTTCGTGGCATGTGAATCGTGATTTGAATCGAATCGTGACTTCTTTGCCAATACCCACCCCTACTATACAACAACACCAGGAAGACCAAATGGCTTCACAGAAAGTTAAAAACATTGCAAAATAAAAGCCTCGTTTTTCAGATTTAAAGTACCTTTTGAAAATAAGAACCTTTAAGCAGGTATTACATATACTTTCTTTTTATCTAGGATACATTTCTGGATTAAAAAATATTATTGGTTTTATGTAATATTGTTAAATCATCCTCAATACTTGGAAGCAGAAAGAGTATGTTTGTAATTGATATTTTTAATGTAGTAATTTAAGTTCCATGAAATAATGAAGTTGTTGGTAGCATTGTAATTTATTAATTATGACAGATTGGGATGTTTTAGAGATATTTCTGTCCTGTTTTTAGAGCTAATTTAGAGTATTGATGTTTCTTCATGTTACACGACAGCTTTGTATCGGCTCTGTTTGACAGGTGGGAATTTATTTGCTAGAAACTGGGCTGGGGAAGCCAGAGTTCCTCAGTGAGGGAAATGCCCGTCTGAAGAAAGCCAATCAGCTCATGCAGAAACTCATGGAATATTTCTACGATTTCATCATCCCTGGTTGGTGTTTCTGCTAAAGTAATCCCTAACATCTGTAGAACAGTCTCCTAACAGTTTATTCTTTTTCCCTCATACAGAAGTTGTAGATAACGAGGAGGAGGAGTGTGACACGGACCTTGAGAGGCAAAATGTGGAGGAACTTTATGATTACGTGAGGCACCAGCATCAGAAGCAGAACCAGGATGTGACGTATGACGTCCAGCACCAGGTTCTGATTCCCGTCCTCAGGCCGTATCAGAGCCAGGCAGTTAACTGGATGCTGAGGAGAGAGAAATACGGCATCATTGCACCTAAAGGTATGAATGTTAAGTTCAAACCTTCTAAATTCATTAGTTCAGATTATTACTTGAGATTAGAGTTGCCCAATATATCTGAATACATAGTCAATGCAGTATCAGTGAGTGAAATTTAATGTATTGTAGCAAACGACTGGAGTGTAATAATTATTGACTACTATAGCTCCATTTACACTACCCACTGAAAGCCGTGCTGAGTTTGGACCGAGCTTGGATCAGTTAACCGTGCTGAGCTCGGTTCCTTACAACCATTTACGCATCACGCTAGCACGGTTCCTTGCCTCCTGGTGACGACCTACGGTACTACTGCTGTCGTAGGAAAACTTAGTGATTATGTTTTGTTCTGTCCAACATCCCCTGGACAGCGTCGTCCGCCAAAATAGCAATAAAAGCAGCTCTTTTGAAGCCATTTTTAAAAATGTAGTTTACGATTCTTCTTCTGTGTTGTGGTGGTTGGCAAATAACTTATGATGTGCATTACTGCCAACTACTGGAAGCTAACTGTAAGGAGATGACATGGTCTGCTCATGTGCTCTTTGTTATCAGAGAACCGAGCCAAAACTGACTCGCGCCGAGCCTTACTGATGAACTAGCACTAGATTAGCACAGTTCGGTTCAGTTTGCGTGCCATTTACACTAAATATTTATCTTGGTTACCATGGTCGGACTAGCCTAGTAAACTAGCCCCACCCGCCGGCGGCCAAAATCATTTTTGCCTGCGAGTTGGTCTAGCCTCCATCAATGCCCCAGGCTCTGGAACTGGCGGGCCAATCACAAGGCAGGGGCGTGTTTGGAATTTTTGGATGCAAAGCGGGCGGGGTTTTGAGGGCGTGACGACAAAGCTGCCCGACGCTGGAGACAGCGCAACAAGAAAGA